AGATCCCAGGCGAAATCTTCCCAATCACTGGAAGAAAAGAGAGAAAAAAAATATTTCAAAAATGAATTGGGAAAAAGTTATTACAATTCTGAAGGAATATAATGAATAAAAAAAAGCAAATAAAAAAACAAAAGTATACAGGAGAAATAAAGACAACAGTGTTATATATAGAGAGAAACAGACAGACAAACAGACATTAGATAGATAGATAGATAGATAGATAGATAGATAGATAGATAGATATTAACAGAGATACACATATAGGTATGAACAGCCTTAGATAGATAGATAGATAGATAGATAGATAGATAGATAGATAGATAGATAGATAGATAATGGACAGACTGAGATAGATAGATAGATAGATAGATAGATAGATAGATAGATAGATATGAGCAGACTGGGATAGATAGATAGATAGATAGATAGATAGATAGATAGATAGATAGATAGATATGAACAGACTGAGATAGATAGATATGGAGAGAATCAGATAGATAGCTAGATAGATAGATAATGGACAGACTGAGATAGATAGATAGATAGATAGATAGATAGATAGATAGATAGATAGATAGATAGATAATGGACAGACTGAGATAGATAGATAGATAGATAGATAGATAGATAGATAGATAGTGTGAACAAAACAAAACAGACTTGAACTCTGATATGTAAATAAGGATCTTGGATCGAAATAGAGAAAAAGTGACACAAATTGCATTTCGTATATTAAAATTTAGGACGTGTAATAGAACACGATAAATATACATACAAATTAGATCTCCTATATTAAAATATAGAACGTGGGATAGCACAGAGATGAATATATATATATATATATATATATATATATATATATATATATATATATATAGTCAAACCTAGTGAGCCAGACAAACCTGGTTCACTAGGTTTGACTAGGTTTCTCTACGGTTGTATTGATCTCTTTTGTTAGTTGTTTACTCGTGTCGGGTGTTTTTCTTTGAGCTTTAAATCTGTATCTGTGCGTTTTTTTTTTCAACAGACTTTCATGTTCCTGGCTCTTTCTTTTATTTAAAACTTTTTTCACCTTCGAGATTGATTTGATTTTTGGCAAATCAAAAAATTCGAAGTTTTTCGACACGAGTATAGTTACCTATATATATATATATATATATATATATATATATATATATATATATATATATATATATATATATAAATTAGATCTTGTATATTAAACTATAGAACCTAGGATAAAACCAGAGGGATATAGATATGAGTTAGATCTTGTCGGTGTGATCTTCTCCGGACACTACTACTTCGGGAGAGCTATCCCTTAATTATGTATACTTAAGAAAACAAGTTTTCTCTCTTTTTCTTTCATTTTCTTCGAACTACGACCATGTAAAGCTCTCGCAGAAGATAAGCATCCCCTCTTGTGGGAAACGCTATGAACATTACACTCAAACCCGCACGCACGTACGGACAAACATTCACACACGTATTTGTTGGAACACAAACTTCACACAATTATTTGTTACACATACACATTTCTGTTTTTGTAATTTGTATCCATTTGTTTGTTAATACATATATAATTGTTCATTTGTACTTTGTTGTTAAAGCTTTAAAAAGGAATATTTTAAAAACCCTACAAAATAGATAACCCTTTATGAAGTCGTCAAAAAACAAATGTTACGGCAATTTTTTTTTATATGCACAAATCCCTTTCATAAAGAAATAAAATAAAAAATAAATAAATCTCCATAGACACGTAAACCAGACTAGGCTAAAAAATCTTCCGTTTCAAATTTAGACACCGCCACCTTACCCTGACTTGACATCTATAAAAGTAACTCTATACTGATACTTATTATTAACACCCAACACACGCCTACCCAATTTAAACAATTCGCCCTAGCTGTTACCATGGAAATTTTGATTTCAATTAT